CTCATTGCACGACTTATATTGTATCGCAAGGCAGCCTCCTCCATAAAGATTTACAGCCTTGAGACCCGATGGAAGGTTGTCATGACCCCTTGCCACTAGATTTGGTGTTTCGTGAATTTTTTTTGGGGGGGGAGGAGGAAGGTTGCTACAAAATTACAATGGTGCTTTGACACAGTTAATGACCTTCAAATAGTTAAGTTCCTTAGGATGCCAGTAACTTCTTGGTGGGACATCTCATACTGCCCATAGCTCATTTTCCAATTGTTTTCATACCTTTGTCTTCTTTGTCCACATTATGCAAGGTGAGAATGCTGAATAATAAACCAACAACATTTCCTCTGCCCCCCCGCGTCCTGCACTGACAGGTGAAGACATAGACAAGCACTGTGTCTGTGGCCAGGATCAAACTTCAATTGTTTGCTGCATCTTGGGTACCCTCTTTAAGAGACAATCTGGGTACAGCCAGGCTCCAGTGCTGTCTGAGCTCTGTTGGCTAAATTAGGTGCGGAGCAGCCCTGTCTGGGCCAGTGGGTGGGCACAGAGACCAAAGGGGAGAGAGAGCACATGTGAGCAGAGGTGAGAGGGTTGGATGGTCGTACTTTCTTGGTTTTCTCGATTTTCTCACAGAGCCTAGAGCTGATGCTTCCTTCTAGTATGCTGTAGGGTCAAGTGGGAATAGACCCATAGCTGACCCTCCAGCAGGTTTTCAGAAGCTGTAAATTGCATGGGAGGAGATTGCCCATCCTTCTCCCCCAGAACGGCTGTTGGATTTGAACCACATACCTTCATGTTGGCAGCACAGCTCCTCACCATCAGACCACCAGAGATCCCTTCCAGAAGCATGAGGAAAGGGGAATAGATCCCTTGGGCTGTCCTCTTTGTTTACTATGATTATTAGTTTCTGTTGCCTCCTGGCTGGATGTTTCTGGTCTGATGTTAGCTGAATTGCAGAGCTCATGGTGCCCAGAAAGTGAGTGAGATTAACACAGATAGAAGTCAGAACACATACTTAGGCCTGGGCTTGTGAGGGGTCATTGACTACACAGGGCATGGGGGAAGCTTTCAGAAAAACCAGCGAAACAATGAAACCCAACCCAACCCAACCCAAACTCAAACTCACTGACATCAAGTGAGAATCGACTCATAGGTACCTGGAGGCTGTAAATTGCATGAGAGAAGATTGACAATCTCTCTCCTGTGGCAGATTTGAACCACAACAGAGACACAACATTGAGGTTCTCAGCACACGTCCCTGGGGGACCTTTGGAGGCTGGAAATGTCCTTTACCTTAAGCTGGGTGCTGGTGTTGGTAACAGGATTTGTGCTATATCTCATCAATCTGGACACTTAAGGTAATTTCACTCTGAGCAGTTTACTGAGTACATAGGAGGCTCTGGTGGCCAAGTGGCCAGAAGCTGTGTAAATAAAAAAAAATTAAAGAAAAAGAAGGGAAAAAATGCAATATCGATGGTTTAAGAGTAGGTTTAGGTTTAGAGTAGGTTTAGAGTGTTGATGGCCATGTAGCTTTGGCAAGTTCCATAACTTCTCTGGGTCTCAATTACGCACCTTAATGTAAATAGTGATGTTGATAACAGGGAGCTCTGGTGGCCTATTGGTAAGAAACTGCACTGCAATCCCAAAGGCATGCGGTTCGAATCCGTTGGCTGCTCCGCAGGAGAAGGATGGACAGTCTCCTTCAGTGCCGTTTACTGTCTCTGACAACCCACTGGAGGGCCAGCTGTGGTTCAGTTTTGACTCAACAATACACAACAAGAAACAACAGTGATGCTAATTGTGGGGCCAATATTGGAAGGTTACTTTGAGAATTATGTGAGGTTGTATATAAAGTCCATAGCACGTGCCTGGCCAAAAGCAGGTCTCAGATAAACGGTATTGTTCTTTACAGATAATCTGGGTTACGTCTGGAAGGACAGCGTTCTTTTGGGACTGATGCCACCAGAGGCTGCCGGATGGCTAAGGGAGGTGTGAGGAATGGTGTGTTGATTGTTAGAGTTAAGTTGGATGATGTCTTTAAAGTATTTACTCATCTACTGTGGCAGAAGGATGGGCAATCTCCTCCCGTCTGATTAACTGCCTCAGAAAACCCACTGGAGGGTCAGCTCTGGGTTGATTCCAACTCAACAATACACAACTTATTAATTCATTAGTGTCTTCTTTTTAATTAATGATGTAAGCACTTCCATTGATAAGTGTCTATTCATGGTAAAATACTTGCTAAGTGCCAGAGATATTTTAGGTAGTAATGGGGAACACGAAGGGAGCTCTGGTGGCCTAGCAGAAAGAAACTGCACTGCAATCGCAGAGGTACATGGTTTGAATCCACCAGATGCTCTGCTGGAGAAGGAGGGGCAATCTCCTCCTGTTATCAGTCAGATTCAATTTGACGATACACACACACACTAAAATAAAAAAAAAATGGGGACACAATGACTCAGACAAAGATATTCTCTGCCTCCCAGCACACAGTAGGTGCTCTGTAAAAGGCTGTTGGGGCTTACTTGCATACAAGTGGAAGGAAGGGTGAAGTCCAGTAGGCATAGAAGATTGCTGTCTTCTTTTCCCAGCGCTGTGGCAGAAGGGAAGTGGGTGTTTTTGAGGACTGGCCTCGATGAAATCCCCCTGGAGAGAGAGAGTTTAGAGGTTAACACTCAAGTGCACTTGTTGTAGTAACAGACGTGTTTCTGACCCTTGTTATTCCAGCCTGCTGCGCGGCCCTCACTGAATTGGTGCTCAATGACACAAATGCCCACCAGGTGCTCCAGGTGAGAACGCCCTGCGCCCTGCGCCCAGGCACAGCATCCGGGGCCCCGCAGAACCACGTCAGAGAGCCCCACCTATGCTGCAACCTGCGTCTCCTGTGTTGTGAGAGCCCAGGACATGAGTGTGACATGTTTAGTACATTTATGTAATTGTTGTTCTCTTGTTTTATCTTGGTCCTCCTTTAACTGGCTTGACTTAAAAATTACTGACACATGGTCAACAGTTGTTCATACTTAAAGGTTGCCTCCCACCCCCCTTCTGCCTTTTCTATTATTTGGTTGAAAGTTTACAAACATAATAGTTTTTCATTCTATCGATCATACACATTTTTTATTACATGAGTTACAATGTCTGATCATTCCCTTATCTATATTGCCTTTCTTTTCATGGACCCAGGTTTTGACTGGCATTTTCTTCAGTCTCTTTACTTTTTCTTTATCGATAGTTTTTAAAAAGTGATTCTGAAGTTCCTTAGTTCCCAGGACTAAGAGACTATTCTCATCATCTCTGTGAATACTATCATTTGTTATGTTAGGTGTGACTAAAAGACAACAAACAGCATATGTGTTGTTAAATATTGATTCTACAAAGCATAATTCATTATTTAACCCCATATGTATACATTTATTTAACCTTGTGTGTGTGTGTGTATGTTTATATTTAAAAACAACATTTGAAAAAAAAGAAAAACAATATTTGTTGGTTTTCTCTGGGTAAAGTTGCCTCTTCCTTACTAACAACGTCCTTTTTTGTTTGTGGATGTAAATCCAGCTTTAACCTCAAAATCCATGAGTTTATAAAAGTATGAGATGCAATTTCCCCTTATCAGAACTCATAGAGAATGGTCAGCAGATCAGAGGGTCACTGAAAAAATGGGGTGTTTGGGGCTCAGTTTCTGGTATCACCACTTGTTAGCTTGGCCTTTGGAAAAAGAAGAGAATCTCTCATGTTATCCTCATAAGTGAAACTAAACAATCGTACGATCATTTTCTATAGGATTAAATGCAGTTAAGACACTTAATTCAAATATTCAACATAAGATTAAAGCTCTTTATGTTTATAAATAGCCACACGTATGGAATCGGCAAATTAATTACCAATTTATAATAGAGACTAGAAAGTAGCAGAAAGTGGATATGAAACATTTTTGCATTTTGTATTACCATAAAGCTAGAGGGTGCTCTGGTTGCCTAGTGGTCAGGGAGTTCCACTGCTAACCCAACAGTGTCGCTGCTCCAGTGGTTCGAATCCACCAGCAGCTCTGAGGGGAAACTATGTGCAGTGTCCTCTCATGCGATTTAGTGCCTCAGAAAACCCACTGGACAGTCAGCTATGACTCTGGTGAGAGGGACACTAGCAATGCAGATAAGTGGGTTTGTTTTTTTGTTAACTTGTGTTTACTTTTTAAAAATTATTTATCTTAAACAATGACTTTTATGCTTTAACTACAGAAACTATAAAGGAGGATAAAATCACATCCCCAAATGAAGCGTTTAAATGCAACATGTAAACATACTTGAATCCTTTCATTCTGTGCCTCTTCAGCCTCCATTTTTAAGTGCCTTAAAAATTTACCTTTTGGTGAGCTCTGGTGGCCTAGTGGCAAGAAGCTGCACTGCAATCTTGGAGGTACGCGGTTCAAATCCACCAGATGCTCTGCTGAAGAAGGAGGAACAATCTCCTCCTGTATCAGTCAGATCTGATTTGATGGTACACACAAAAAATAATGAAATAAAATAAAAATTTAAAAAAGAAATTACCTTTTACTCTTCATTTAAGTGGCCTAAAATTGACATTTTGTTATGTATTATCTTAAACAAAGTTGAAATGTTAAGTTCATTATAATAACATTCAAGATAGTGCTATTATCTTAAACAAAGTTGAAATGTTAAGTTTATGATTTTAGTCTTTGGTATTTTATTATCCTATTTTACTGTTATTTTATTATCTTCCTGAAACACTTACTTAAGTTTCTAAAATTTATACTAGCATGTTTTCTTTAATATTAATCTGTGAGATGTTCGCCTTATTTACGTTTGTTTTATCTCTGTTCACTGATAAGAAAATGCTCCTTTCCCCCCCCTTTTATTCCAGGAAAATGGTGTATATATAATAGCAAAACTCATTTTACCAAACAAACAAAAGAATGCAGCAAAAACGAATCTACTACAGGTAATAAATACGCTTGCTGTTCTTCAAAGTCCAGTTGCTGCCATTGGGGGGGCGCTTTTTTGCTAAGATTGTCTGTGGGTTTTAGAATCATCATTTAGTGTTGATCCCCACACCAACTGTGAGGAAACTTAGTAGGGACAAAAAGGCTCACATGAAAACAAACAACATGGAAATAAAGAAAAGGCTGAGCGGTGGCTTCTCTCTGTGAAGGATTGACTTGGTTGGTTGTTTATCAGTGAATTTTATTTCCTGTATTGTCTGGGTGTCAGAAACAGCCAAGGAGGAAGATGGTGTGCTATCTTGAGCCTTGAACCACCGCCATCCTCATTTCACCTTTACAAAGCAAAGGCTGCCAAACTGGCATTGGACTTGCTGAGTGGATGAGAGGGTGCAGAGCCTCTGCTGCCGGGTAGAGGCACGTGGTCTGCAAAGGGAACAGCATCTACAGAGCATGAAAGTGCCTTGCAGAACTTAGAGTGCATTTGGTGAAGACATGTGGGTGGCTCAGAGGGACTGGGGTGTGTGGAGGGGGAACTAAAGGTCCAGGAGAGGAGAGCTCAAGTGTAAGAAGAAGGCATGCTACATTTGGTCCCGTGGGCTTTTTCTCTACTGAGTGGGCATTGAGGAGCCAAGGCATCTGAAGACACTGGCAAACTCAGGTTTTAAAGTTAGTCTATAATAGGTTCTTCTTCTATCATCCTTAGTCATTGCCCAGCTCTCTGACACAGAGCAAGTTGAAGATCACGGCCTGGATCAGGCACACCTTAGTCTCTAGTCTGACATCGCTGCTTTTCAGTACTCTGGAGAGGTCCCTGCCAACAGATTTACCTCATGCAACTTATCTTTTGATTTCCCAACTGATGGTGCCAAGAGTGTTGATTGTGGAGCCAAGCAAGCTGTAATTGCTAACAACCTCAATCTCTTCTCCATGTATTATGGTGCTGCCAATTGGCCCAGTGGTGAGAATCTTTGTCTTCTTGATGTTGAGCTTCAATCTGTATTGAAGATTACAGTCCTTGACCTTCTGCAGCAAGCATTTTAGGTCTTCTTCAGTTTCAGCAAGCAAGGTTGTGACATCTGCAAGGTTGTTGATGAGTCTTCCTCCAATCTTGATGCCACACTCCTCCTCATAATGCCCTGCTTCCTGAATGATCTGTTCTGCATACAGATTGAAAAGGTATGGGAACAGGATGTATCCCTGACGCACTCCTTTCCTGATTTTGAACCATGCAGTGTTTTCTTGCTCTATTCTGAGTACTGCTTCTTGGTCCAAGTATAGGTTTTGCATAAGCACAATCAAATGTTCTAGGCTTCCCATTTTCCTCAAAGTTAGCTACAATTTGTTGTGATTCACACAGTCAAATACCTTTTTATATGCAATGAAACACAGATAGACATTCTTCTGTTACTCTCTGCTTTCTGCCAAGATCCATCTGACATTGGCAATGATGTCTCTAGTGCCATAACCTTTTCTAAACCTATCTTGTGTTTCTGGTAGTTCTCGATCAATGTACTGTTCAAGTCTTTTCTGGATAAGCTTTAGGAGTATTTTGCTATTGTGTGATATTAGTGATAGTGTTTGGTAATTTCCACATCCTGTTGGGTCACCTTTTTTTGGAATCAGAATAAATAAGGATCTCTTCCACTCAGGAGCACCGGTGTCTCTCTGGAGACTAAGGTGCGCCTGATACAGGCCATGGTCTTTGCAATCGCTTGTTATACATCAGAGAGTTGGACAATGACTAGGGAGGACAGAAGGAGAGTTGATGCCTTTGAGCTGTGGTGCTAAAGAAGAGTACTGAATGTACCATGGAC